GCATTGCAGTCTGGTCTTCGATGACTTTTTGAATTTGCTACCACGACTAACCTCCGAGGTCACCCGTTCAAACTGCGCACTCAGCAGGCACGGCTGGATGTGCGGAAGTTCTCCTTCTCGGTTCGAGTGGTCAAACCATGGAATGAGCTTCCCGCAGATGTTGTTTCAGTTTATTTCAGTTTATTTGATAAGGATGATAGGCCAAGCCTTTGAAAACCCTATTGATAACATGTCAACTCGTTAGAAATAACTGTACAGTAACAATGAAAATGTTCGCTATATACATAGTACTTGATTCATTTGAGTAGCATTGTCACAGAGAAGAAATATGTGGTGAACCGGGGTGTTTAGCTCAGATTCAGACTGTCGAGGGAAAACAGGGGACACAAATAATCATCCAAGCGTTTCTTGAAGAGTTGCAGGGATGTCGCCTCCACGACTGACTGAGGGAGATCGTTCCATTTCTCCACTACTCTTTGCGTGAAAAATTCAGAACGAAGGTTCAGCCTGGACATTGTTGTCCGTAGCTTCAGCGAGTGGCCACGAACATTGGGTGAAAGGTGCCACTGAAACATGTCCTCAAAGTTAAGTCCATGCTCAAGGCCATTTATTATCTTGTAAACCAGGATTAGATCACCTCTTTGCTGCCTGTAACACAGAGGGAATAGATTAAGGCAATTCAGTCTGTCCGTGTAGGATTGGTTTTTTAGACCGTTTACCATCTTTGTTGCCCTACGTTGCACCCGTTCGAAGCATGCTTTGTCCTTTACAAGCCATGGCCGCCATGCTTGTATGCCATATTCTAAGTGGGGCCGAACGAAGGTGCCGTAAACTCTCCCAAAAAGGTCTTGGTCAAAGGTAACGAACGCCCTTTTGATTGCATGCAGCACTCCCATTGCGTTTTTGCAGCCTTGTGGCACTGCAATGTTGGTTTCAAATTGTTCTGTATCCAAACCCCGAGATCCTTCTGTGAAGATTCTGCGGGGAGTCTTATATCTTTCAGATGATATGTCCTCAGGCTCTGATTTGAATGAGAGTAAGTTGGACGCAGATGGAGGACGGCACACTTCTGCACATTGAAGTCTAGAAGCCATTTCTCCGACCACGCTTGCAGTCGATAAAGATTGTTTTGGAGGGATCTCTGGTCGTTAGGACTCTTAATGACTTGCCAGAGCTTAAGGTCGTCAGCAAACATTATTTTGCCACAGTCGAGTTCCTGAAGGCTATCATTAACATAAAGGAGGATTAGCAATGGTCCCAGAACTGAGCCTTGAGGCACACCACTGGTCACGCTCACCCATTCTGACATATCATCACCGATGCAAACACGTTGTTTCCGACCAACCAGAAACGCCCCTATCCAGTTCAGAAGATCTCCCCGGATGCCGATGGCGCTCAATTTGTGAAGAAGGCGTTGGTGCGGGACAGTATCGAAGGCTTTGCGAAAATCGATGTACACGACATCAACTTCAAAACCCTCTTCTAGGGCCCTGGTCCAGATCTCCAGACAAGCTAGCAGATTTGAGAGGCAAGAACGTCCTCTCCGGAAGCCATGCTGGAAATCCTGCAAGAGGTTATTTTCTTCACAAAATTGCTGTATGGCACTCTTTACTAGAGCTTCCATCGTTTTGCACGAGAGGCAGGTTAGACTAATAGGCCTGAAACAGCTTGCTGCCATCCTGCTACCGCCTTTATGTAAGGGAACGAGGTTAGCTGTCTTCCACTGTGATGGCAGCCTTCCTGTTCTCATTGACAGCTCAAAGAGCGTCGAAAGAGGCTTCGCCGGATCCTTTGATAGCTCCTTAAGTATCAGACCAGGAATTCCGTCGGGTCCAGGAGACTTGTCTGGTTTTATTTGACTGAGGACGCGTCTTACTTCTCCGACGGAAAAGGCAACGGTTTCAATGACGGCAGTATCTTGGCGCATTTGAAAATCCCGGCTGTTTCTGTCCATTTCAAACTGCTGATCGTCTTCTGAGGACTCCTCCGTAAAAACCGATTGAAAAAACTCAGACAGTAACTGCACTTTCTGGGGCCCTTCGACTAGCAAGTTTCCGAGGCTATCCTTAAGACACGCAATTTCGTCCCTATGTTTTCTCCTACTACGGATGTACTTGTAAAACTTCTTGGGACATGTAATGGATTCTGCTACCAGTCGGCGCTCGAAAGAAGTTCTGGCAATCCGTATTTGTCTGCGGCATTTATTGCGCTGATCCTTATATTCGGCGAGTGATACTGGATCTCGAAGTTGCATATATTTTTTCCACAGCCTCTGTTTCTTCTTCATGGCCTTTTTTGTCGTCGAATTGACCCACGGCGGTCGCCCACATGGTCTTGTTATTTTTATGGGACAATG